TTTCGATGCAAATAAGCTTACAAATGCTTCAATGCAGAGGGGGCTCTGGCCCCACCCAGCCCCTTCCATCCCCGCCTATGAAGGAGCCATGTGCTGGCAGGCGGGGCCCTGGCCCCACCCAGCCCCTTCCAGCCGCGCCTATGAAGGGGCCATGTGCTGGCAGGGATGGTTGCGTAATTTCGACTTGAATACCAGTAACTTAGGCGATAATCTAATTTCAGGCGGAAGATTATTCCAAAGGAAGGCATATTTGGAAGCAAAAAAGAGGGAGCGCTTAGATGTAGTACAAAGAGGCGGCGGAATCACCATGCAGGAGTTGCGCGTGGAATAAGACCGATCTCTCGGAGTGAGAGTGTCAATGTGCGGAAGACTGGAGCTAGAGCTGATGCGAAAAAGGAAGCAAAGGCCAGCTTCGAGTCTTCTAACCCACAAAAACTTAATGTTCGCCAGCTGACATCTCTGAGTATAAGAAATACTGGACGAAGCTTGAGAGAACAGTTTCCGGGTGAAAACCCTCTGAACATTTTCGATTTTATTACGGTCGCAGGCGTTCATTAAACCGAAGAAAGGACAGCAATATTCGATGACTGGAAGAACAAACATTTGATAAAGTCTTTGCTTCATTTCCGGAAGGAAAAAATTGTGCGATATGAATCCACATATCTGCGCGGCTTTGGCAGAGATTCTATCTGCATGAGGTGATAAAGCAAGCTTATTTGTATAACTTAGACCTAGGTCCTTTATGGTGAGGCATTCTGAGAGTGGGTCATTCTAAACAATTATGGGACCAGGAAGTTTGGTAGGACCAAAAGACATGAAAATACACTTGGATGATGAAAACTCCATCTGCCATGTCGAACCCCATCTGCTTAAGCGTAGTAAATCGGCATTAATTTTTTCAACACAAACATTTGCGGTGTCCTTAGAGTATGAGTAAACACACTTGAGGTCGTCGGCATAAGTAAAAGTTTGCGAATTTCCGAGTTCAGTCGAAATATCATTGATGTACAGAAGGAAGAGTAGCGGACCCAGGACCGTGCCTTGAAGTAAGCCACTCGTGATCGAGTTGGGTGTCGAGTAGCTATTACCGACCACGACTTTCTGACATCGGTTGGACAGATAGGACCTGATGAAGTCGAGTAGAGGCGGCCGGATGCCGAGAGCTTCCAATTTTACTAAAAGACGTCTATGGGGCACCTTGTCAAAGGCTTTGCTAAGATCAAAGTAAATAACAACCACTGACTGCCGCTCATTACGAAGAGAAGTGATTAGATTAAGAAAAGTCAAGTGGCATGTTTCGCAGGATCGTTCAGGTAAAAACCCATGCTGACTAGAGCTCAGAAGCCGATTAGCTAGACAGAAGTCAAGAATTTCATTGAAAATAATCCTTTCAAGAAGTTTTGCTAGAGACGGCGTTTTGTGCACGCCCCGATAGTTATTAACATCGGACCGAGATCCTGACTTGAAGACGGGAATGATAATTGACGTTTTCCATGTTTCAGGGAAGAATCCTTTTGAAATATAAACCGAGAATAAATGACTGAGCAATATGGGAAGGTCGGACGCTTGTTTAATAATCGAATTCGGAATCTCGTTCGTTCCTGAGCAGTGTGAGTATTTCAAACGGCTTATGTGTTTCTTAATGAGATCTGAGGAGACATCAATTGTACTCAGTGTCCTATCTGAAAGTGATCGAAAGAAAGGGACCGGATCGGACTCGGTAGCAAGGTGTATTGCAAATAAAGCACTAAAAAACTCCGCCTTGTCAGTGTCATCGCTGAGGAAGACTTTGTTATCATTTAGCATGGGTGGAAGTTCATGACCACGCTTAGAGGAGGACAGATGGCGGAAGATGTTAGCGACGGATTTGCCAGGGTTCGAACCACTGAGAGCAATTGATTCTCTTTGCCTGTCACGCGCTTGGCGCATCCTTGAGGCCATCTCAAATATCTCTGTGATTCTAAGATGAACAGATAAGGAACTAGTGGATGGGTCACGCAGTTGTCGCCGCAACTTTTTTAGTCTGTTCTGAAGAAAATGAGGAACAAGGGAATCTGAAGAATTAGGCTTGAGATATCTACGCGGCACAAACTCTAGAATGTCCTTGGAAACATTGGACATGACATCACGAAGAATGGTTACATCGCTACAAGTGAGAAAGGCACACTAATCCAAGACGCTCATGATTATGCCATAGGCGCAGTTCTTTTACAGGCCGATGAGACAGGGGCATGACATCCCATCTGCCTCGCCAGTAATACGCTGACGAAAACATAATGAAATTATTGTGTCTTTCGTAGAGAGTTGCTGGAAACCTTTGCACTTCTTCGTCAGTTCAAGCACTTACTAGACAGAGTCTAAAAACTAACACCTCAACAGTTCGGCCGTCGCACCCTATGATGTTTATCATGTGCTCCACAGCAACGTAAAACAGGATCGATGATGATTTAGTGTGTGCTTTATTTTGTAGTGAATGAGGACTTGGGCTGCATCTACCGCACTCTCGCCTCCTTCCGCACCTCGATCCTGTGTCGAGACAAATTCAAGAAGTCCGGAGGCGGGGGAGGGAGCAGGTGGATGGCACAGTCGAGTCCGCACCCAGGCGCTCCACACCACACCCCCTGGTCCACACAACAAATAACAAGGTTTTAAATTAACAAACACAAAAGTGGCTGACGCGGCCGAAGTCGGGCCTAGTCGTTTCGTCTCACCTCACTTGGATTCCACGGAGTGGGAGTCTCATAAAGGTCACAAGAAGGGACCATTACAGCCTGACTCTTAAACAACCAGTCGGTCGTTCCACGCAACACTGGGCCGACTGCGAGTTCCAAGTTATCCTGTCACTTGGCAACCGTTCAAGCCACGGCTTCTAGCGCAGCGTGACAGATTCAAGAGCGTCAGATTGTTTATAATGAGGAAAATACGCTTAGTCGTCGACCTCACTCTCCCTTCCCATTTTCAGGTCCCAGCCACCGTCCAAGTTGGTTAGTTGACAAGTGCTGGGAATGGATGCAGTGGCTGACATATCTATCGATCTTGTCTGCGCACGCCACATGCATGACCTGGCCTCCCAAACATAAGCACCAGGATTTCACACAAAGGGAGTTGAGCGGTGCACATCTCACATGCGTGAGAATGCCGTAGTTCACATTGATAGGATACAATTTAGCCCGGCTCTCAGCCCACCAGTCCGCCACTCCTAGCAGAAACAAACACGATTGGGCAGACTGAGTGGGCTGACTTGGGGCGTCAGTAGGCAGCCTTCCAAACTACGGCGCTTGAAGCGCTGTGATAGTCTCAGACTCGAATCCCACATGCAGCAGAGGAGTCGCATGGAGACGAAGTCGAGACGCACACTTCCAGCTTGCGTGGGAGGTGACAATTAGCCGCTGGTGGCGGGTGATTTTGTTATGTGATGTAGGTGGGGGAAGAGGCGGTGTAGCCGGCGGTTCTCTACCGCAGGTTTTCGTGAATACCCATTTGGCCTAACAGGCCCATGCGGTGTGTGAATGTGCGGGTGCATTGAGGGTAGTTGAAGCTGATGCGCCTGTTGTATGTTGGTGGTCCAGGCACTGGTTCACCGGCCTCTGCGCGATGAATTCGCAAGTGATCGACCAGGCCGGTGTGTCAAGTGAAGGTGCAATCGCATTGGGGGCACGTATGCACCGAGGTCACATGGTTGTTGTCGACGGCGTGCAGGCTAATGTTTTTCGGTGTGTTAGGATTGGGTGCAGCTGCGGTGGGTGCAGGATCCATCGCAAAGGATGCTGAAGCTACGGAGGAGGATCTCAAAGGGAGTTCACGAGTGCGGTCATGGTTGATTGTCGGCGTAGAGGGGGGGGGAGGTAGGTGTGGACGAGGGGACATCATATGGTGTCGACCGTGTGCTGCAGTAGGTTCGAAGACCGATTGGTGCACGGAAAGCCAGCTGACATCCTGGGCAGGTTGCGGTGCGGTTGAACATTGGCGTTGCGAGATAGGGGCATTTGAGACTTGTGTGCCTGACCTTTGGCTTTAGAGGCGGTGATGCAGTTGGCTGCGTAGGTCACTGCGCCTGTATTCACTACTCTCCGTAAGGCCGGTCCCGGGAGAGGTCTTCTCAGTTGGCCGGGTCGACTTGTAGGCGCTTCAGAGAAGACTTCAGGGTATCCTTGCAGCGCCGGACTTGACCTCCTTGTCGGCGGTATTCGTGGCGACATTTATATAGAAGAGTGGTTTGGGTAACCGCTCATCGTCCATCCGCACGACTTGGCCGTTCCAACGCAGTTGCAATTGTTTTGGAATGATGTAGGTGCTGAGGATTCCCGGCCGTTCCAGTACATCCGTATCCAGGATCCGGTCCTATCACCTCAACCCCAATATCCGTCGGAGACAGCAGAGGTAGACAGGGTTATGTCTTCGTGCCTGCGTCTTGTACGCAGTTCGAGCCTCCGCTCCATTCAGCAGCGACGGTAGGATGACAATTTTGTATATCTTCAGTTGTGTGTTGATATGGAGATCGTGTGGATTCCAAATTATGTTTTGTAGACGGCCGAATACTTGACTGGCCTTGGAAATCTGGCAGGTCACTTCATCGTCGATTTTGGTGCTGCGAGAGAGGGTGACGCCTATGCAGGTGAAGCTATCCACGGTTTGCAAATGGGCGCCGAAAATGGAAGAATTGGCCATCCAGCCTGTAGGCGACGCGGATACCGTGGCGTTCGTCACGGTGGGCGTCCAACAGCATGGTAGAGAATATAAGACTGAAGAAGAGGAACGCGAGGACGCAGCCCCGCTTCACTCCGTTGGTCACAGTAAATGCCTCTGAGAAGACTTCATTTTCGGTGACGCGTCACAGCACACCATCGTGGAGCTGAGGTGCCATTTATGTGAATCGCTCGGGACAGCCGAATTTCTACATGATATTCCACAGTCCTTTGCAATTCATCATGACTAAGATCTTTGTCAGATCCACCAAGGTAGAGTACAGGTGGATCGCATCCCTGACTCTTCTCCCACAGATGGCCGGCGGCGATAATCATATTTGTGGTTCCGCAATGACGGCGGAAGCCGTACCGGCTTTCCAGCAGGAGTTTCTTTTCGAGATGATTGATCAGGCGGTTGAAAAAAATGAGACCGAAGATTTTCTCGGCGATGATGAGCAAAGAGATGTCTTGGTGTTTGTTGCAGATTTGACGATTCCCTTTGCGCTTATAAAGATGGACGATTTGGTCGTCCTTGAAGCTCAGCGAGACTTCTTCTTAATGCCACGCCTCCTGGATGAGCGTCGTCAGGTGTTTGGCAAGCTGGGACCACCATGCATGTGGATCATTGCAAGGATCGCGTAGGCAGCGGGCAGCTTAAATCGCGACGAAGAAATTCTTCCATTCGTTGCGGTTTGCGTAGCCTTTGATCTACATGGCCCTACGAGCCATACAGGTGTCCTGCATTTCTCACAGCCACTGTTGCACAAGGCGGCGACTACGGTAGAAAGCTGCTCTGTTGGCGTCGGTGGGACGGGTGATGTACGCTTTGTTCAGGCGGTTTTTCTAAACGAGCAGGTTGCTGATGCTGACATCGTTTCCATCGAACCATTCCTGGTGTTGACGACGTGCACGAACGACGACAGCTAGGGCCGTCGACCAGACTGTGTCCCGGAGTCGAACTAGTCGGTTCTCCTCGGAGATGTCCATCTCGGCGTCTGCGGCTGCGACTGGAAGGCTAGCTAGCCTTTGTGCAACTTCATTGCTGACGTGGAAATGGTGAGCAGGCAACGACAATAAAGCAATATTCCCACGGCCTGGGTTTCGCCTACCTCGAGGTCTCCTCTGAAGTTGTAGGCGAATCCGCATATTGGAGATGACGAGGCTATGTTCGGTCCACCAGTTGCACCCGGAATCGCCTTTGTCATCAACCCCTTTTACTGGTCTCGCCTCCGCATGAGGATATAGTCCAACGTACCGAATTTTACGCTGCAAATTCGGTACTCAAATGCTTACGCCTATTGTCCTCAGTAAACTGAACTGAACCGAACTAAACCTCAGACGTGGAAGCAGGGTTTGATGTGTAAGTAATGCGGCTTCACCTTGAGACGGCCCACCGTGTCCCGCTTGTCGGCCAGCCAGTCGCGTAATCATCAGATTCAGGAATCGGCTAAACCAGGCATCAAAAGCACATGAATAAAATAGCTACAGGACACAACATTACCCAAGCATGTGCACTATCAGTATTTGTAGACAAAATCTCACTGGCAAATAATCTTCGTGGTTGTACGAACTTCTAAACTGCCTACTTAATAACGGTCAAGCAAAAAAATAGGAGGTGACAATCAGAGCATAATAGTTCGTCAGCCAAGTCGGTACGTCATTTCGAGTAGCACAACCTGGTGAAGTGGATCCAAGCACATTTACGCATGTACTTCAAAAAACTTAGAAAACTTGTCTACCAAAGTCAGTAATAAAATCTTTATCCTTAGAGATGAATTAATTTTGTGGGTACACTCGTACAATTGGGAGCAGTGTATTTTTAAACTAGACCGAATTTAACTGGATAATTTTGACGTGAGTGTCACTTCTTTAGTTCCTTCGACTTTTGCTATTTCGGCGCTGATTTAAGAATCGGAATTATCCGCTACTGAAAAATTACAAATATCCATTTCTTCTGTGAATTCGGCTACATCTGAGCCCTCAATACATTCATTGACACATTCTTCTAACCCGCGCTGACCCCAATTTTAAGACACTGCTGATCAGAAAATGCCCGCAGATTGCCTCAGAGAGCCAGACTTTCCTCTAACAGTTAATTGAACATGCCGACATTTTCATTTGTAGGAGTGAACTAAATGTCTGAATATTGAGTGTTCATAAATTCGCTACACCTTTGGGATGTGCACCTCACCGCTCCGCTTGCTGACCTTCGCACAAATCGACGTTTCCACATTTTGTGAGCAGTCCAGAGATGAAGTGGTGTTTATACCTTATCCGTCAATTTCAGAAAACTAGCGAATTAACAGACATCATTTGGCATCTAGACAAACATTACCCATTGTAATTAATCGCGAATACCTCTTGCCATCTTTCAGTAGGCAGTCCGGTTAGCAGGCGATATGCATATGGACAAAAATGTCATGAAATACGCCCGAAATACATAGAGCTTCCTAGTTTAAACGGCATACAGCAATGTCTACGTACAAACAAATTTTAAATTCCCTGTTCCCAAGCCGCTTACTTTAAAAAACTATGTGACTGGTGTTGCGGCCGGCCAATGGGGAGTAATATCGGCAAGCCGGCAATGTTAAAAGATGGGTCTGTGAGGACAGTCCATCCTCCACCTCCTTATGAGCCGAGTGATGGAAATTTGAACGAACAAGATAATGGCGTCTCGTCGTTGCCTCTCTGTAAGTTGTCATTTTCTTTATTTTGCCGTTCATTCAGCCGATAAACAATTTTCATCTGGAAACATTGGATCAGATGTTACAAATCAAATTTGCCATTCCGATCCATCCATCATGGTTGTTTTGTACGATTTTACCGCCACGCTTGAATCCCAGCTGACCATAAAACGCGGTACGTCTTCCATCGTCTAAGCTTTTGATACCTGCAAAACAACAGCACACACTGCTTGCATAAGTTTGTTTGCTCTAACTTTCCAGACTGTGTATAATCCTCTCCTGAGAACTCTTCGCGTAACCGATTTTTTTTGACATAGTTGAGGTTGTGAGCTTCTTGAATAGCATGCCTTTGTACGTCGTTCTGTGTTGGGTACATTATGTGATGCTTGCTTCACATCGCTATGGTGCTTACTAGTGCCGACCCGGTTTTTTGCTCTGGTAGGTTAAGGAAATTGCCTTACAGAGGGAGCAACCAAACCGATTTCACATAGATTAGTGAAGAGGCTCATCTGCTTTCTACAGTTTACTGAATGTAGCTACTCAAATATTTTTTATAGTGCTTTTTGCAGCAGATTTTACTATCGACGGAGGCTAAAATATCCATTTTTGTGCCGAACAATATTAGACCGTTCATTTTTGGGTCAAATAAAGTTGTTGTTCACTCGCCGATCGATGACTTTGCATGTAGTATTTCAAAGTGTAGGTGTCCGTCCTAAACTTCAAACTGCCAAATAGACGCCAGTACATTAATGCCATGGGAAATAGTTTAAAATCGGTGGTTCGTAAAAGGCTCAGAGTGCGCTTTAGTGTTTAGACCTCCTAAATTTTCTTAGACTCGCTCATGTAGCCGTTTTGAACCATACTTCATGTGTTTATGCCTCTTCTTACTTAAATACAGATATTTATTTAACAAAAAAGCTTTAATCCATTAAGTCACCCCTTTTGCCACAACCGTTCGGCATGATCTGTCGCTAAAAATCCAGAGAAATAGCGAAATTCCAAAAGGAGCAAAAGTAAGCTCTCAATAACTGTGCTTGTGTTAGGGGTTCTCTGGAACGAATCCTTGTCCGACGTCCTTTCTGTTTTGTTCCCTCAGAGTCTAAACGGTCAAAGTGTTCTAGGTTGCTGGAAAATCTTTAAGGGGACAATTGACGAGAAGACAGGGCCTAATTGGTTTAATGGCCTGAGAAAACGCTCGTCTCACTAAAGGGCTGCGCCCTGTAGTGACTCTGTTGTCGTACATTGGTTATATCTGTCGAAACAACCGAATTGCCGGACGGAATCACTGGTACTCTAACACAATCTACTATGGCAGTTGTCGTATGCAGGATTGAGGTCTGCATTAGCCCTCCTCCAGAGCTCGTTGCGGTCTTGCGGTAGCCAACTTGATCTCAGAGAAAGGCGCAGTTGAAGTTCAGGTCACTCGAGGCGTCCAATCCTAATGTCATCCGTTCCCTAGCTTATTTCGCTGGAGGATCAATATTTTCGGTGACCTTAGCTATAGTCAAACATCTCCCCTCAGACGTACCGTAGAGCGTATTTCACCTCAGACCAGTTTTTCACTAAAGTCGTCTCAAAGTCGGATGACACCTGTGGAGGACCGGTTGTAGGCAGCAGAACGAAAACTTTAGGCTATGACGGTACCCCATAATCATCACATTTTTCGCAGGTCTCATTTTCTGGGAGGCTCGCAGTAGGTACAAAGGACTTACAAGAATGTAGTTCGGTCTGTTTTCACTACCGGAATAGGCACCTCGCATCTCACGAGTACAACACGGAGCTGAACTGTTCGGGGAAGCGCATAACCGAGTTTATTTTAAGTGAAACCATAATTTGACTATTTCCCAAACCGAATGCCTTTTTGAGTTTCGGGATCAGATATGTGATTACTAAACGACTAGCCTCAGCAGCATTACTAAGTTCGTCAAAATGAGTAGACACCTAGGGCATGCATTTATTTTCCCCATTCCATAGTCCAAATTTTCTACTACTACGAATTTGCGCATTGGGACACCCGACTGTTGCGTGCGACTATTTACAAAAGCCTCTTTTTGCAGACTATTAATCCCCCGACAACCGCGTTGTTGCGACTGAAGCTGACTGTAGTACGGCGGAAACGCGCAATTTAAATCCTGGATAAATCTCTTTCCTGGCGCATAGGTCTTGGTCAGATCGTTTGAAGGGACTGAATACCATTTCGACGGACGCGTTTTCACCAAAATATGTCCTCCGGCAAATATGACACTATAATTACAAATGGTCGTCGTTCAGCACTGAAGAGTATCTCGTTATTTGATTGTTGCAGGGTAACGCGTATGGGCGTCAGAAATTTAATTAAGCGGCCGCGGCTTGCAGTTGCACATATCCCGGGGATCGACATTTACTTGGTCTGGTTATCGCGACTTTTCGGGTGACCAGTAAGTGCCGGCGTTTTCGGTTGACTACGTCACCAAATGATCCAAGCGAAGAAGTGAATGAAAAGTCACATTATGTTTTTGGAATTAACAAGTTCGCACTAGAAACGGACAAATGGATGCTTTTCTTTAGAGAAAGAAACACGGACGCAATTTCAAACGTCCACTCTCCGCCAGAGCTTCCTATGACAGCATCTGCCCGCAACCTTGCTAGTTTGTGGGCCACGGCCCACGCTACCGAGGGAAGAAAGTTATTGGACTTTCCATCAGTCAATGAAATTTTCAAAAAAAACGAGTCTTCCAATGACCTTTATTCACTACCGGTCATACTGGTTTTTTAATTCCTTCATCCGAGGTCGTCTCCTCTGAGATCTGCCGCAGGTGTCTAAATGTCCCCCATAGCCATGTCCCCCAAGCTAAAAATTCATATTCAAAAATGCTCCGTCGCACAAGGCAGGTTATCTCCGGGCTCCTCTCTCACCTTTACGGGTGAAAAGCTCAGCCGTATAAGACAGCAACCCCGTTTAACGTGACGCCACTTCTT